ATTTTAAACATACACAGGATCATAGCACAATACTGAATCTAGAGACTCCTCAGTGCGAAGGTCCTTGCCTGCAATTACATAGATCTTGTTGTCTGACTCTCCGAGCCCGAAGAGACACCTGGCTGACGGCAGTGGAGGAAGGGCAGCCCACTCACCAGCGATGCTATCCAGCTGAAAGACCATCAGAACAGGAAGTGTTAGGAAAGGCAAATAGTAAAAATCCACGCAACAAACACTGTTCCACAAAATTAATCTAATTGCACTCAGTCTCTCTCAGCAGCTCATCTCCTTGCCTGAACAGCCTAACCTTCCCTCAGTGCGGTTAATGAATGATGCCTTCTACCCACCCATGCTTCATAGTGCTGAGACCTAGTGGAGTCAATGTCACGCAGCTCTCTTTGCATCCACTCACCCTCACTCATCCTCACAGAGTTTCTTTGCCTCTTTATTAAGCTCTTCTTCCTTGTTTAAAGGTCCCTCACTCTGTGGATTCCCTATCATACATTGGAAAGAACAAGTTCTTTTTCCTGCCTGAAGGGAGCAGATGCTTCTGCCGTTCCACATCTATACATTTAGCCAGTTGTGCTTATGGCTAAAATGACAGATGCCAGACATCCTCACACCATTCCTCTTAATGATCAGGAAATACTACATGGCAAATGGCACAGATGTTTCTTCTGCAATCCCTAGAGCAAAAGTGGTGGTGGTTCATCACAAATACCCTCAAAAGCTCCTGAGATCTCTGAAGGCTCAATGAATAGAGACTTCACTCCTAAGCAAAAAAGGCAGGCAGTGCAGCTCTGTTGACAATAGTACTGATGTCATCCCTACTGAAGTACTCCCACGGCTGTCTCAGTTCACACCCAGTATGCTGAAAACACCTAAGGAGAAGCAGCAGAAGGAAGACAGAAGAAAAAACAAACAAACCAAAACAGTATTTTCCTAGAACAGTGGTGCCTCATTTTTGTTTTTATCTGAGAACTTACAATTGAACCTGAATGCTCTCTAACATTCAAAAAGCATTTTCTCTCTTCTGTTGCATATAGGTTTGCTTCACGATGTACAGGAAGGGAAGTTTGCATGGGCGTAAGGGCATTTGATAGCAAGAGAAAGTTCAGTCAAAGTAATCAGATCTGGGTTTAGTGCAGTGACATCCTTTTTCCAGGAGTCTGTTCCACAGTCAAGGTCTCCATGCTAAAAAGCATCTCCCAGATTTGATAGACCACCCTTATTGGACAGGACACTTTATCACATGAGAGAAATTTAGTTCATGGACATGGATCGCTCCAGTAGCTGGATCTGGGGGGCGTAATGAGGAGACGATGTTCCCATCACAGATCACAGCATGCTTAGTGAATCATTCTTGAAGATGACACATCTACTGATGATAGGGCATAAACTGGTCATGCATTTCTGAGCCAGTGGCAGCTTTGTTTTCTCCTGGGTTGCTAGCTACCAAATAATAAAATGGGAACAGGTGCTTCACTGGTGGGGAAAGGGAGATCAGTAAGTGAAAATCGGTTTGGCACCACATTAACATTTTAGAAGGAACAACCACCACATGGGTAATGCAGACAAGTATTTTAACTATAGGCGGCAAGCAAGCTTAAAGGTGACAAGCCAGAGTCCAGGATTTCAGGAAATGGATGTAAACGTATAAAGTAGGATTTTGAAAACATCAATTTCTAATATCAATCTTGAGATTTAGTTTTTCAGAGGCCCCTTTCTAGTAGCCTGAGACAGACTACTCAGTTCTGGATTATACACATTATGAAATCAACACAGTATTTCTATTAGGAGAATATTTCTGTAATAAGTTTTGCACTTCAGTGATTAGTTTTACACCTATATAAGGAAACAAAGCAGTGCTAATTCTTCGCTAGCAAACTGAGACTTCCCTCTCACAGATACAAATGCCTGAAACCAACTCTTTCATTATGTGTGAAATCACAACGAGCCACGCTCCTATGAACACTTACTATTTGTATTTTTTAATATCTGAAGGCTTTAAAATTCTGTCACTGTTTACCACTCTGCTTTATTTCATATTGAAACAGGCTTACTTCCACTCTTTTAGGCCAATGAGCCTAAAGACAGGACATGTCCAGCAGCATATTGCATAATTCCACATGAGATAGTTCAAATATCCCCCAAAGCATGTAGCCAGCTAGCTAAAAACACAACAGAATTAGTTTAGGGTGTAAGCATGCCAAACTGTATTTTTGCTAATTTTTTGAAATATATTGTGGAAGTCACAGTTTGTATTAATCAGCCTTATATTTATACAGATTTACAAAGATATAAAATTATGCTCTTGGTTGAAACATGCTATTTAGTGTGCTGACATTGACAGTTTGCCAAGAAAACAACCTTCTACCTCTAAATTACCTATTTTAGAATGCCCTTAGGTTTTCAAATGTATATGTGACAAAAGGACTTCTGGAATTTTGGTGACAAAAGTGGCATTTAGAATATGTGCATTACAGCTGTAATAAAAATATTTTAGATGCAAAAAAAGAAAGACACCTCATTAGATCTAAAGCAGCTAAGCACTCAACTTTTATGGAAGTTAACAGAAATTCAGAAAAGGTGTTTTACTAAAATATGGTCAGGCTTAAATTTAGGCATCTGCACCATGAAAAATCTGGGCCTTAAACAATGAAAGCCGGTGCCTAGATATACTAAACCTTTTAATCTTTTCTGAGATCTCACCAGGGGCTTGATCTTGAAAGAGATGTGAGTCCCTTGGTTTCATTTCTCTCTCTGAGACAGAAATAGCTCTCTATAGATGCTTCTCTCCATCGACTGTACAGAGAGACGAGACAACTCACTTGCATAGACCCAGAATACTTTACAGTAAATCTTATTATAAAAGGCACCTATTATTGCAGCAACAATTATAAAGCTTGTACCTGGAAGAAGTACGACTGGAAAGGCTGATCCTTGTTCTCCTCTTCCACATACAGTCCTCCAACAATGTAGACCTGATTTTGTTTGGTGACTATACTGGAATGATTTCTGGGAATCTGTTCTGCCAGGGCTGCTAGGTAGCATTCGTTTTCAAGAGGATCATAAGCTACCGCAGCAGTGTCATTAACCAGAAGAATTAGGTCTTTGACAAACATGCCGTGCCTGGGAAGGTCATTTAGGTAGCCAGGCAGTAAATCTTCATCTCCTACATCACCATTCACCTCCCCTTTGGTTGACTTTTCTCCACTTTTGCTGGAGTCAGGCAGTTTTCCAGCAAAAGCATCCTTAATAATCTTTACTTTTTTCTGAAGGTCTGAGTTGCTTTTAATTACATCATCCTTCTCAACATGTTCCTTGAAATATTTTTCTGGCATAAGACGAAAACGTATACAGTCAAAAATTTCCCCCAGGCTCTTTACTCTGTTCTCCTTGTCTGTTCGGACCCATCTCATTACCGCTTCAAATACCAGTTCTTCCTTCTCTACATTTAAGCTGTCGGGTGAAATGACTGAGATAAGTTCATGTGGGGCAAGCTGCATGAAGTCCTCTTCTTTGCAGATCTGCACAAAATGATCCGAAACAAAATCACGGGCAGAAAATGCAAGTCTTGGGCAATCAAGCAGAACACCTAATCGAAGGATGGCCAAACAGTTACCAACAGCAAGCCTCTTCTGAAGATAGGAGACGCACACAGTGAATACAGAAGGGATCTGAAAGCGACTGGCCAAAGCAAAAATATCTTGCACGTTAGAATCATTAAGATCAATACTTGCTGAATAAAGGTATTTGACAATCATATCCAGGATGTTGGGGTCAACATTATCTAGAACTACCTCCTTCTTTTTCTCTTCATTTTGCTCAGATAAGAAATACTCACGAAAATAAGGGCTGCACGCCGACAGAATCAATCTGTGGCAAGGCAGGCTTCTGTCACCAGCTTTTAGAGAGCAATCTATAAACTTTTTCTCTTCGAGGAGTTCCTTGAGGCCATCCTGAAGAAGGGTAGATTGGTAAAGTCTGAGCTCTTCAGTGAGTTCCCTTTGGGAATCCATTTTACAAATCCTTGGGAAAGGGGAGGGAGCAGAAAGCTTTAGCTGTTGTCTGCCCAAAGGTCCGTCTGTAAAAAAGGCAGACCAATGTGCTTTGCCCTGCCTGAAGCCTCTGCAACCTTATCTTGCTAGCTAAATATAGGTACATACTCTTACAGGTCGGAATTTAGGATGCATGGTTTGGAAAAAAAAAAAAAAAAAAGAGTTGCTTTTGCAGCTGTCAAAGACGGAAAGAAGCAACTGTTGCCTTTAGTCACTACGGTCAGGTTTTGCCATCACTCTCCACATTGAATCAATGAGATTACGCGCAATGTAAGAAATTATTTGACGTGAGTAAGGACAGCAGAATCTGTCCCTCAGTGAGACAGCTATGAGCAAGATTGTAAATATACACGTACCAAATATTCTGAAATAGAAATTTGTTAATCAAGCTGTCAGCTGCAACTACTGTTCACTTTTTCAGAGTTGCTCAATACATCTCATTGCTGCAGTCATAAAGACATTAAAAAACTCCAGAACTTTGCATCAATTATCTATGCTCTAAGATTTTTTTTTTACATACTGGTATCACATCAGCAATTTCTTCAGATATTAAGACTTTGAAATTAATCTTGAGTTTCTTCTTGATATCCGTTTGGTTGTATGTATAACAAAACCCTACTCTTTAAACATAAAATATACATTATTCAGGTAAAATTCCACTTTCAAAAATACTTTAAAATGAAGTCTCCACCCCCTTTAATAAACACCGTTCTTCATTTCAGATAATCTGTAGATATTATCAATCCTTTTAAAATTCAACTGTACGAGAAATGGTGTTAACTGCTGTTAAACTAAACTGAAAACAGTATATGGGAAAGGTAGAACAGAGAATGAAAAACACGTAATCCACCATATTAACATTACGTAATAGATGTGTAATTGAAAAAACCCCAAAAATATCTGAATTTAAACTAATAAAGCCCCAAATCAGACAAGTAGATTGAAAAGTCAACGTGAATTTAGAACAATTATGCATATATTGAAGGTTTCACAATTTAGACTGGGAACATTTAGATTTTTATTAAAGGTGGTAATACAGATCCAAAACGAATTTAAATTTTAAGTTCTTTAATGTACCTTGATGAAGGACTGTATTTTGCCCATATAGAGAATGCTTTTTACCCATATGGTAACAGGATCAAAACACAATTATTTGAATGCAAGATCTACAATGAAGTATAACATTATCAAAGTTTATTGAAATCACGATTGCTTTTCAATATAGGTATTATTTCATTAAAATATATACCTTGAAAGATTTTCTACAAACAATTATATTCACACCACAGTTATGTTACTATTAACAGTCAGCTGCTAAAACAACAGCTGAGAGGAGAGCTCATTTGACTTTTTCCACTTATAGAAAATAGCGCAGAGTTCTTATCTCACTAGAAAACTTAACAGCTGCATCTTCCTTTAAACAATAAATGACTCATTTCTCTCTAACACATAACATCATAAAGGTCTAATGACTCAGACACAGAAACTATTTGTGTGTACACTTTTTTCTAGATCATTCCTTAAAAAAAGTGCACTAGCAAAAAAAAAAAAAAAAGAAAAAAGAGAAAAAGCTGTGTGAGGATATCTGGATTACAGTTAAGTACCTGGAATGATACGTGCTGAACTTTTTAACAAAATTATGAGACATGAAAACTAATATTTGGAACAGTATTGCTTTTTGTCAAAGCTATCAGTAACACAGCACCGCTGCAATAACCCAGCCAATATGCCTAGATACAAAGTGTTCAGCATATGATGATATTTCTATGTTGCACAACATTAAACAAGTTATGGAAATTTGATTTAGATATAATCATTATGGGAAAGTACATCACTGCGTATAAATACACAAATGATTTAAATTGAGCATCAAACTATGTAACCACACACTGCCCTATCTCAAACGGTCTCTGTGTCCATAGGAAGAGGAAGCTTCCTTTCCTGACGTACTTCCAGGTAAAATGGCAGGTGGTGGCTGGGCCTGACAGCCAATCACAAGGCAGTATGTAAACACATGGGTCATGAAGTTGTAAAAAAAATGGTGGCTACCTGCCATAAAATGGTGGCTACAACACCATGGTGGAGTCTGTGTCATTCGGGGAGGGGGCTTCCTGCTCTGACAACCTTCTGGGGGAAGCAGGATGGGGTGGCTGCTCCTGCCAATCACATGCCTGAAAACACGTGGCATACGAGTGTGTCAAAAGCTGCAGTCAGCCAATCACAAAGCAGTATAAAAACGTGGGGTATGACATTTTACATAATGGCAACTGAAATAAAATGGCAGCTGCCATGCATGTAGCAGGGAGGGACTTCCAGGTCCTTACAGACCAGCCTGACACAGAAAGGGGACACTTCTCAGGTCCTTACACCCACCGTGTGACCAGAGGAGGGGTGGGGCTTCCAGTGGAAGTTGGGGCCCCGCCCCTTCTTGTATTAGAAGTTGGTTGTCCTCCTGCCACTTATAGAAACAATGTAATAAATACCAAGCTTTTACACATACGAGGGTTTTGAATAATATTTCCTTTATGACATATCTTGAGACATATCCATATCATCTAATATTTGCCTGCTCTTTAGCTTTGTCATGTTCTTTCTCTGCTACTTCTACATTATCTTCTACAGATCTCACAAGCCCTGTAAGAACCCAGAGTCTGTCCCTGCTTAGGAAACAAACGCGTGCCAGTGGAAATCAGGTCATTACTTCCCAGAGTCCCTGGAGTGTAAATCCGTCCTTTAGCTTCTCTATTGCAAGTCCTAATTCTTCTGAAAAAACAGGCTCCCGATCATGTTGCTTTTTTGAATGCATGAGAGACAAGAGAAAATAAAAGAGCAGAAGGTACTTTTAAATTTTATTATCCGATTTTAACAACATGAATTTGACAGTATGAAAAATTATGTTCTTACCTTGTTTTCATCAGCAAAGTAAGCCTGCAAAAGAGAGAAAAAAAGAACTCGCAACCTTGGGGAAAAAAGGTCTAAAACCAAATCTGCTAATAACTCCTTGGGGTCTAAACTGTATTTGGTAAGTTTTTTTCAACCAACCAGTCTGTATGTTTTTTATTTTTGTTTTGTAAACAAGATCAGAGATTTTTCTGTGTTTAAATAAATTACAAAAGGGTTCTAACTGGAGTTGGTGATTATGTTATTTTTCATTAAATACCAATCTGAATTTTCCATCATCATGAACAAAGACTTTTAAATGGTAAAATTTCCATATTACTTTTGTTAGACTGACAAATACTTTAGAGGGAATAAAATATTAATATGAAGGCGAACTGACAGCATCCTAGCATTTTCTGGCTCATGTTCAGCAGCATTTATTATTCAATTCCAAAAACTAACTTAGAATGTATAAGTAATATCAAAGTTCAGTTAACATTGTACTCAATCTAAGAAATGAACACAGAGTAACTGAACAATTAACCAACATTTTCTACTCTCAGACAGAGATCTGGGAAAGAGATAAAATCTTTCCCATTCCGTGTGTATGGAAATTAAGGCTCAGACTCTTCAGGAAATCAGATCTCTGAAAATATCCACAGCTCTAGAAGTCTCTGGACCAGCAGGCTCTAGTCTTCCTACTTACCAGAAGGAGCCTGATCTCGCTTCAGCTGCCCCTACAGGCAGCAAAGGAAGCATTTTCCTGCTCAACTGGATCTCAAGCTACATGAGACTCTACAGAACAGCATCACAGTCATCAAGGGTCATGGAATATTGGTGTGGACCCACACTCCTTGGGTCCTGGACAACCTATGTCTCCTATAGAAATCACCTTCTAATCCATTGCAGCTACCAGTTTTAGTTTTAGAATATGCAAAGCACAGTTATTTAATCCAGATGACAAAGGCACCAATGGAGCAAACAGAATCTACCTTTAAGGAAAAGGTAGGTCTTCAACTATGCTGAAGACTGAATAAAAATGTGCAAAAATGAAAAAAAGGCAGAAAGTGAGGAAAAAGGAGGGGAAGGAAGAGATAACGGCTTATCTGCATCAGTAAATGACAGCAAAAGAAAAGAAGGTGGAAATAAGATAGGTGCTAGCACTGCTAATTTACTGAATTTCAGAGATGAATTAAGAAAACATGTTAATCGTCAATGTGTTAAGGCTAGCACTTGAAAAAAAGTGCAGTCTACCTGCGCAGTAAATCATGCAGTCCGGTGTTACTGGGTTGCACTGTGAATTTGGAAATTCCTAGAAATAAGGTCATCAAGCAACTTCATGCATTTAAAAGTAAATTTTCCTGAAATACTGGGAGACAGATGCTAATACAGTTATCTAAACTGGTATTGTCAGGAGTGACTCAAAATTATTGCCACCTTTCTAAAAATCTTCCAAGTTTGAATCTTGGATGAATGAATCTATTAACCTGCTCCAAGAGAAGGAAGACTTGTTTTAATATAATGTATTTGATTATATTATACTGCTGGTTTTGAAGCTATTCCTGACCTTAATGTGTTCAGAAACTACATACAACTATTACTTTAAGTATCTACTACTATTTACGTTGAATAAGTTTGTTCTTAAGTTAAAAATCCACACACAGAATAAATTCCTGTAGTAGTCAGGATTTTGAATAAAATGCATGTAGGTGTGTTTTACATATAGAAAGTTCAGTTGTAGCTTATCTTTAATTGAGGATTATAGCTGTACATTGCTTACATTTGAATAACCAAACAAGAATTATTTTATTTTTTTGTTTTCTTTGGAGCAGCTTACCACAAAAGCATCTGTATGTTCATCAGATTCTATTTCCACATCATCTTGAACCTGCTCCACTGTTAGGTCTTCAAGAGGTTGAGGCTGCAAATTAAAACAACAATAAAGTAAGTAAATCCACGTATCTAATGTTTAATATATTTTTATTACTGCTGTTAACACAATATTGTATCTAATTTAAAATAAATGAGTGGAGTACCTTTTCTTCCATTTCATAATCCACTCCAAATATAGGGTTAGCTGAATAAACTCTGTGAAGTGAATTAATTTCTTTCACTGCCTCCTGTAGTTTCTCCACAGGGTCTATTTTAAAACCAAGCACATATCCTCCACTCTATATAACAGAGAAAAAAGAAGACGTAAATTTATTAGTGTTGCTTATTATTTAAACAACTTTTTAACTTCTTCCCCTTGATAGGGATTTGCAGGAGGATAGCAAATTTCAGTTTGCTGATAAAACATTATCTGTATTTTGGCGTTATCTTATTTTCATTCTGTCACTTAAACCATGGGTGAAATAAAAACAACAGCAATGTTTCTCTATGAGGTAAATAAGCTTTTAACTGTTAGAACAAACTTCTTACACAGAAAAACAAAAGCAAACCAGGGTGGGAGAAATTCAGAAGTGATACCAATGATTTATTCCTAGCTACTCAGCAAATGCTTAGTCTGTTAGATCTTCATGTTGTTATTAAAGAATCTTTCAGATACAGCGAATAAAAACTTAAAAAAAAAAAAAATCACTCTGATTAAGGTCAAGTTGAAGAAGAATAATTTTGTCTCTTACAGCAAACAAACATACAAGTGAAAAAGATTATAAATGGTGGTCTTAATTAAGTATAGAAATAATCAGATCCCAAAGATAATCTGTCAGAAGACACTGTTTTTAATGGTTATTTTACTTTACTTTAACTAGTGGCACTGACCTATTGTTGCTTTGCTCAGAGAAACCCGTAACTCACAATAGCCATCTTGACCTTAACATAGACATTTTAAGCAGTGCAAAGAGGACTTTTTTAACGCCATGTTCAAAAGGCCACACAGAAGGAACACTTTAAGTACCTTAAAAGCAGGCCTGTAACATTTCAGAATTGGAGAACTATTACATCTAAAAATGTAACCAATGAAAAAGGGCTATTAAAGCTTACCTGCTGAGAACTCTCTATCACAAGTGCCAAGCCAAACTTTGAGTCTCTTATTTTTATTGAACGCTAATGGTAAAGAGGTAAAAATGGTTTGTTAAAAATTTTGGAATTACTTGATAAAAATGTGCTTTATCTTTTTTTTTTTCTTCTATGCTGTAATGATTACAATTACTGATTCTGGAAGCTTGGTTACCAGCTTTCCCTCCCACTTACCATTACAAATCTGAAGCCCTGAACCTCAGGGAAAAGCGTTTTTGTCCGCAGTGGTAACAGTTCGTTTCTGAACATCAAGTTCACAGATCATTACTCCCAGCGTATGTAGGTGGCATGAAGCAACATAGTAAATAGTTTGAAAATTGGAAATACAAGCCGTTTTCAACATCTGTACCTGCCCATGAAAACCCCCAATTAATCTGGACAGAAAAAAAAATCTACCCTGTGGTTGATGCTGGTAAGAATAATTCCTCCCTGACTGTGGGACATGAAATACTAATTTTGGTGAGCTGGGAGTTTTAACTGAAGACTAGAACTTATGCCGTTTCATTTTGAAAATGGTTGTTTTAAGATACTTACAATTTGTAGATATGGTATGCTGACATTAAAGCTGTCATTCATATTTGCATGCCAAACTATTCTCACATTAGTAATAAAAAACGTTCCCAAGTTTCCCTATTGAAGAAAAGGTATGTTAGAACTGCTTTGAAGGATAGAGCCTTTTTTCCAAACATCATAATTACTGCTATCCATTTAAACACAAGCAGGATACAGCTTCGTATTTAATTCAAGAAAAACCTGATTCTTTCAGACCAAAATCAGTCAAAATGTTTCTATCAGTTGCAAAGAAGCAAGACCCAATCTTTAAAGGATACAGTACCCAAGTGGTGAAAATAGCTGGGAGCACCTATTACTGCAGCAAAGCAGGATCAAATTGCAGCACAGCAGACCTCATGGGAGTACATGAAGCATCTGAGTGTTCTTAACTGTACAGATCTGGAATTGGTGTAGAGCATAAGTATAATGGCATGTGGGTTAAATTTAGGCAATTGTGGAGACGTGTGCCAGGGGAATGCAGAGGAAAGAACGTTTTAGCTTGTCAGGATGGATCCTATTTCCATTCTGGACTAAAATTGCACGGACAGAAATAGCAACTCCCATTTTGTTTCATGGCTCTGGGAAATACTTGCAATAATGCCCTGTAAAATAATAGAAATGTGTTCTACATTTTCCTTAACGTCTTCATTTGTCCATGTTTTAAGACATAGATTCCTATTCCAGTATTTTCAATTTCCAGTAACTAAAAGACAATATAGTCTTACACTGTTGTCAAAGCTGCACATAAACATACAAATATTTAGCAGAGCACTTTGGAAACAACATGATTGTCTTTCAGGATGATACAGAGCTTTAGACTCATAAATACATCTTTTTAACAGGAACTGTTCCTTGCTATTAGCAGAGTCATGTAGACTTCAGGTTGCCAAAAAGAAACTTTGTTGTACTGAGTAGTGAATACATGATATTCTCTGCATGCATCAGCTGATGAACTGAATTAAGGGTAATTCCTTTGAGGTTACAAAACTATAGTACTACAATTGCTAGAAGAAAGCCAAAACATTTTAACTTTGCTGTAGTCAATGTAGTCTCATTTTTCACTATACCTGGTCACTTGATAAATTCCAAACTCCATTGATTTTATCATATATTTGTTCTTGTGGTAATAATCTCAGTTGCTTGTTCTGAATCAATGCACTTCTTAGCTTGAGATCACGATACATTTTAGAAGTTTCGTAAGCTCTGCAAAAAATAAAAAATACACATTACCATTTCAGTGTTTTCTATTATCTTTACTGTTTGTTTTAGCACCAATGAAACGTTGTATATTTCCAACTTTTCTTATCACCACATTGCATGAAATGAGAGTACTATTAAAACTTTATCAACATAAACCATTATGTTTCAGCTTTCCTTAATGAAGTTATCTTTAAACTTAAAAGGGTTTTTCTGACATCTGTTTTGATCTCCCATATTGTTCATGTGTATACTATTTCTTTCTTTTCCTTAAGGTGGTCATCTCCCAGCCTTTATCACAAAGCATAAGTCTTCTGGGTCCCATGTTATACAAAGTATGGACATCAAGAATCCTTTATTTTTCAGTGCCAGTTAAGTCACAAACATCCAATATATGTACGTCAGTATTCCATAGCTCTTAAATAGAAACCTATGGCAATGTATTATGCACACATTCATTCAGATGAATTATCTTTAGGTGGGAAACTTCCACTGTTTTGTAGTCAATTAAGAGTTTTAACCAGTATTTAACTCTTTGTTTCCATTACGCGGTCCAAAATTATGGGAAACTATTATAGACAGAAATTATAGATAGAAAATGCACACTGAAATTAGCTCTTTTATACTTCTATTTGTTCAGATAGTTTATATGCCCAAGATGTATAAACTGCAATCAATGACTGGTATTAATACACATTAAATTTCATTACGCACAGTTATCTACTAGAATTTGTGATCATTCTCTCCCTTCCTTCCAAAGATTGTGTTCTCCTCTTTTGGGAAAGTTTTCTGAATGTTAAATATGGGCAGTTATACACTTGGTCCAGGAGCAGTAGTAATAGCACATACTTCATTCATTGAATTTTGTAAATGAACAAACACTATTTTAAGTATGCTACCTGTGTACAGCAAAAACTGAATTGAAGAGTCTGGGACTCCCGGGGACAACATTGGTAAATATAAACTCAAACCGTGTATTGTTACATTTAGTCAATATATACAGAGCTTCTGTCTGCCCTCGTAATTTCTGTAAAGAAAAAATGAAATTTATCATTTTGACAATATAGTAGCTTGACTGTACAGGCAATACATAAATCTTGACATATTTTCTAAATTTTTGTTCTAAATAGTATATCTGAAGGTGTAATCCCGATTCTACCACTGATCTACTGCTATCTTCAACTGAACTCAGGGGTTTTTTTGAGAAACGAGCAGCTCCATTGTAGGACACCAGCTGGAAGATCTCACACCAAGGCTACCTTGTAACTGCTGACACAAAGAACCGTTTGTCCCAAAGGAATGCAGCTAACAGAACAGAACTCGATAAGGGAGCAAGGAGCAGAAGCACCCAGCGCTCTTCTGAGACATGTCTCAAACACTCTGCAGATGAAGGGACTAATAGGGCGGTCTGCGAGACAGGCTATGAACTTCTAGCTAAAAGGTAATTCGGGCAGGGGGAGAACATGGCCACCAACTCAACACATCCACCGACTCAAAAGAGGACCAGAGCATGCATCCCATTTAGCATGGGAAGCGGAGAAGGTGTGTCTAAGCAAGGGATAAAACCCACAAGCTATCCCAAGACTGTGGGGAAACTTGAAGATGGATGCACCCAGTGTTGGCTGGACCGACACTGGAACCCAGCCCAGTGACCCCTCTCTCTCTCCCCACCGCCCCTTTTTGTTTTACTCTTCTGTCTCTTGTATCTCTAGTAAGTAACGTAAGGTATAGATTAATGGCATTGCAGTAAAAACCTACACTTTCTCAAATTACCCCAAATCACCTATTAAAGAATTACAAGCCAGTAACAGGTCAGTGTAGTTTCACCTTAATTTGCCCCAGCGGGATTTCAGGAACCTCTCGGGCTGGCTTCTCCTACCCAGGGTAGCCTGAAGAAAGGGTCGCGACATCCATCACCAGCAGAACTAATAAAGCCTCGCTGCTACGCATGTGCAATATCATGATTGAAACAGTATTTTTGGCTTTGTTAGTGGGTGGCTGCCTGGGGAACATAATGTCTCTGCTGGTTCTTTGCGGCAAGCCAAACACATGGCTTCACAGTTGCATGTAATTCAGGCTACGTATTTGAGAGCTTTCTTGCACAAAATTAGTACCTCTCTAGACCTTTGTTAAATTCGGACACAATGAGCAAACATGTGCTTGACTTACTTTGAGGGGAGAAGAATCACCAAACAGCGTGATTACATGAGTTTTACTGCCTTAGGAAACTGACTAAAACCACAATCCTATAGAAACGTAAAACTCTCTCAACTTTTAAAACTAAACTTCAATTACTATTCTATTACTGTTCTTGCAAGTAAACTTTCAGAATACTGTTGATATAGTGCAATAAGTATAAACAATGAATTACAGCTTCTTTTATTATTTTAAAAAGTATTTTTTGAAACTTACTGAATTGGCAGTTCTTGTAGTTATGTTTATAATGCAGTTGTAACCAACAGCTAAAATTTAGGGGAGAAAAAAAAGGAACAGTTTTGAGAATAAGAAAAAATAATAGTCAAAATTACAAAGCACAGTAGTGATTTTTGTAGCACAGCTTTGTGTGCTATTTGTGAGAATTACACATTGTAGTTAATGGTCTGGGCCCTCATCGTAAAAATCAAAGACTAATTTAAGCTGGAAAGGACCTTGGGAGGTTGTCTGGTCCAATGCTCTTCTCAAAGCAGGACCCAACGCCATCTGGCTACTCAGGGTACCATCCAATTGAATTTCAAATATTTCCAAAGAAGGAGATTCTACAGCCACCCTGGAAGGATGTTCCACTGCCACCATTGTGTATGTTTTTCTCCTAATACTTAATCAGAATTTCCCTTGTTTCAGCCTTTGACTGTTACCTCAGGAAGGTCTGTTTCATCATGATGTTGCCTGTAAATTTTGCCCTTATAAATAAAACTGTCTACATTGATATAGTACGTTGTAGAAGAAGAGCTAAGGAGATGACAAAGAAAAAAAGCAGCAAAAGGGAAAGTATAAGTAGAGAAGAAACAAAACAAAGAAGAGGAAAAAACAGTTACAAATTTCACTTTCACACTTCTACAGTAGTGCTCTGATGCAACATAAAACCAGAAACATTCCCAGCTATTCTTCCTAAAACAAATGGATGCATGAAAATGGTGCTGGGCTAAATCTGAATGTCAATGACAATCCTGCTACTGATACCAATGGTAGCATAAGTTCCAAAAAAAGCACAGGTTCCAAAAAAAAAAAAAACCAACAACGGAGAACTAGAATTTGCTTTGGGAATATTCTGAAACTGTTCCAAAAGCTCAGATGTGGCAGCAGTTATGTAGATAAGAATATTCAGTCTTTATGGAATTAATACTTATGAAAATACCAGAAAAATACAATTTCCCAGGTTGCTTGTGAGAAATTTTCTAAAACTGAAAGAAACAGCAATGGTAAAAAATGGCATCCAGTAATTTTTTTTTTTTTTTGCCTATATATTCCTTTAATGTAGGAAACGATGCATTATCTTGAAAGCTATAGAGTACTTTAAACTCTAAAAGCCATAGGTTAGACCTCCTTGAGCTTCTATAGGGCTGAACTACTTTGTAAGTTTCTTTGTGATCTCCTCTGAAAAGGTCTATTCTAATACTCAAATACACAAGCTAACATTTTTTTTAAAATTTAAAAAATACATATAAAAGCAGCAGTGTGTGTGTGTGCACTTGTATGTGTGTGCATGCATGAGACAGTGAATGCAGAAAAGCAAGCAGGCAGCAGGCATAAGTTTATATACATTATGAACAGAATACAGATTTTCAATATTGACTGGCTACTGGGACCTGAGCACTGGAAATGATTTGGGTACAAAGTGCATGCATCCTGCCCTTGTTTCTGCAAATTAAATTAAATATGAGTAGACCTGCTAGCTACTCATAGAGTTAAAATTAGAAGCTTATACAGAGCTTACAATGATAAATTTGGAAAGGCAGCTACCTGTGTGGGATAAAAACTGTAGGACAATACAGACTGTGAATAAACAGGTGGCAACAAGAGGTAAAAGTAAAACTCAGACTTTTGTTTCTTTCTAGAAAAATGAATGAATCCCACATAAGCCAAATGAAAAATATGTCTGAAGTACTCGTAAACTTTTGTTCTCAGAAATTAACATTGAATATTAGTATTTTGCTATGAATTATTATAACAGTTCTTGTATTACAAATAGATTCATTAGTTTATTTCAGACTTTACAAAGCAACAGAGCTATACTTTACTATTCTGTACTGTAATCAATGCTATTGTGAAAGAACAGCATTCCACCATGAAGGAAACACAAAATTTGCAGTTGTTTAACAGGAGGTGATACTTACAGAGATTGACTCTGGGCAGTGACAATGAGCGCCAAATAATCCGCAAATTTGTCACAAGCAGTCTACCTGGAAATAAAGAGTGTAGATATTTTTAATCTGAATATCTTTCATTAAATTAAATGTTCCATTCTGTAGTACATATTTACCTCCAGTTTTGAAACACCAGAATATTCCTTCCCCTTGATAGGAAAAAGAAGAAAAGCACAGGGCACACCAGCAGAAAAATCACTGCATACTTTTTTTTTTTTTTTTGAATGCTAGGAGAGAAAATCCAGCAAGGAACAAATTAAACAACCTCCAATATATACCAGGCTTCCTCAAACCCAAACCAAGAACAGTTACTGATTTCACATCCACCTGTCCATGGTAAAAATGCGGAGACACAACCAGTGCAGAACTGCTCTGGGGAGGATAAGAGGAAGGCAGTGAGTTAACTGTTGCAGCTGTCTTCATGACTAACGTCACCCCTTTATGTCACATGCAAATTTCTTCGATTCTGTACCCTGTACAGCAGCACATCCAACCCCAGAAAGGGTCATCTCAGCATGCTGGCAGCTTCATGCCCTTGCACACACTATATATATATTCCTTACTGATTCTGTTTAAACCAGGTTAGGAAAAACTAAGCATTAAGCAGGATTGTAGCAAAAGATCACCACAATGTTTATAAATGGATTATTCTTACAAGGCTTTTGATTCTAAACAAAGTCTGAGACAAGATTATCACCTTCCTATAACTTTGAATAAGAAATCCTATTTGAAAATACTCCAAGGGGAGACAGATCTGTGAAACAGGCAGGATCTATTTTCTGCAACAGACCATTGATACAAAGGTCAATGGAAACCAGACAGGGTTTTCATGAACCTACACAGGTTAAATATTAGAAAGTTTACAGTTTCCCTGAGCATGCGGTTACCTCTGTCTCCATTATTTCCTTTGGTATCCTCAACAGACTCTAAGCAGTCTATAAGGACCTCTCCAGGTCTCATTTTCATTTGTCTAAAAGAGAAAAAAAAAGAAGAAAAAAATGAAAAATAGATTAGATTTATCCTCCAAAAGAAGGCCATTTCTATTTCCCCACTTCGCTTTCCTTTCTCCTTTCTTTGCTTAGGACATCATACAGTGAAAAATCCACATATGCACTCATACAGTGAAAAATCCGCAATATCCACACAACACACAAATCAACATTATATATCTAAAATTGTTATCACTATAACTAGCATATGAAAAATATGAATATGCTTACTATTAAATTATAACAGTAATTAAATAAATATGTAGCAAGTGAGACCAAGCAAACTATACCCCAAAATAGGGAGAAAGTGTTTGAAAATGGGAGGGAAAAGCAAAAATGTTGCATTCACATAATTTTTAATGGATAGAGTTTTTTGCCTCTTGCTGTACTTTTAGGTCATAAGGAGTGGAGCTACACTCAGGAAAGAATAGGTGCCAGCAAAGAAAATATCAGATATATGCCAACACATGAAACACTCTGCTAAATTGTCCACCAAAGGTGTGGCTTGGTTTGGGGTGGTTTTTGTATTTTGCTTGATTTAACTGGTCTAACCACTTAATTACATGATATAGTGTGAAATTTTGCTGTATTTTAATTGTATTGTGTAAAGCAGCCAAAACTCTTCAGTGTATTGGCATGACAGAAACAAAATGCATTATCAGGAATTCCATGAGGTATCACCGGAGATCAGGATCCAGACACTAGGTACGGGCTCAACAATACGTCACCAGAACAGCACAAAAGATATTAGACAGGAGGTAGCAAGAAAGTAACATTGGCATTAAAGAAAATACGGAAGCAGGCTCTGTCCACATGACAATTCTACAAGAAAATAAGACAGAACTGCTTAAACATCCAAGATACAATTCCATGTTTCTAAAATTACTGCAGGCAGCATGTCTGAGGGGCAAGGGGTGTTCTCAGTAGGGTCAACTGAGTGGGAGAGAGACGAAGCATGATAGTACACTTTCAGCCGCCACCCCCAAAATCATCACCAACCAGCTGCTAATTTGTAGCTCCGTATTACGAAAGTTATGCAGGGTTTTGCCAGAGAAACAGGAGCATAAGTTTTATGTCTTGGATAAGGCGGCCAGCTTATCGGAGGCCAAGGCCCGCAGGAGGACGCCCCGCCTCCGCCCGGACGTGCAAGGAAACCCTGCAGCTCTGCCGGCGTCCGTCAGCTCAGGCTGCCAACACCACGGGCAGGGACACCGAATCCTCCTTTACCAATGACGGGCACCGTCCCCTCAGGCACAGGCCTTGAAGTTTATTTTTAGTTCTCCGCCTACCAAAAACCTCCCC